TGTGGCTGGGGCCCTGAAACTATTTCTTGCAGTGGGCCCCAAAAAATTGTGGGCCGGCTCTGGAGCCAGTGAATGTGTCTGGGTCAGGTCCCCCCCCGGTCTGTATGCCACTGTCTGGGGGGGGGGAATCCCTTATAAACAGTGCAATCCAACCACTGATTGCTAGGACGGAAGTAACAGTACTTTTGAAACTGTCAAGTAAAAGATGCAATCTGTACACCCAAGGTAAATACACAAGCTGTGCTGCAAACCCAAAACACAAAATAAACAGGTTGCTTCAGCAATACAGATTGCCCATCAGTGAGTTTCCCTTTTCACTCTCACATATCTGACTGGTGTAGGGCTAACTGAGCAGGGATTGTTAACTCTTTGCAGTTGCTTACGCTCTCCATTTCCAAAAAAAACCTGTGATATTTCCAGATGCTAAAGAGTCCTCTGGTTACAGCACTGTACTGTAGAAGCTGAAGGAGAATGGGTTTGCAAAGTTCCTTTGGAATACAAGCCCAAACATATCATTTGGAGGGTAGACGTACCCCAGTGCACTCTCCAAAATCATCAGGTACGCAGAAAGACAGATTTCTCTCTCTCCCTCAAGCAAGCAGAAACTAGAGGGCTTTTTGGAGGATTAAAAGAATGTGGTTGATTGTAGCACAACTAGTTCAAAACAGTGGGTTTTGCATTTTACTCCAAGCCACACTGAATTGTGTATCCAATCCTGGGTACTTCTGTGAAGAAGTTTCAGGTTTGTGAGCCAATCACCTATAATTCCCAGGTGAGAGTTTTCCCTGTCCATTGTTATGAAGCAATCTGGGCCATTACAGAGCGTATGAACACGGCATGTGGAATTACTGAGCAACAAAAAATCCTGTGGCCTTATGCTCAGAAGTGCTAAATTATTTGCAAATCCCATCTCTGTCATTAGAAACTTCAGGTGTACAAATAACCAAATGCCATTACTTACTAAAGAACAGAAACCAGGTATAACAAAACCTTATAAGGGGACCCTAAGGGACCCTCAGACACATGCAGTACAAATTTCTGTTTCTCCTTTACTGGTGAATCATTTTGATGGAAAATTGATTTCGGTCCACCCCTTGAGTAGGGTGACTTCAGGTAAGTGACAAAGGCTTGTAAGGCATTTTCAGTACTGAATTGTGCAACACTTGAGCTGCCATAACAAGTTAGATCTGTATCACTGAATGAAACAGTATTATACATACAATTTTTAACCTGTCCTATACCTTTACTTTTTTTGTTCCAGTGTCAAAGTATAAATGCCTTGTTATGTTAAATTTTAGGTGACTCCTGGAACCCTTAACCCTTGGACTGTCCACACATTAAAACCTGAAACAAGTTTTAAGAACAGTTTAGGTGGCGTAAAGTGATCCCCCAGGGGCATAGGGAAGCCCAAAATGGGGGGGCAGAGCAGGTTCTTACCTTTCAGTCCTCCAGGCCCCTACTAGCTTCAGTGTGCAGCTGCTCCAAACTCCAGCTAACACTAACACTGATCAACATATGAGCAGCTCACAGTGTAATGTGTAACAAAGCCATACATTTCAGAAAATGGGGGAAGAACATTTTGGGCCCAAGGTCTAAATGTTTCTCAGACCAAACAAACTCCATTTTGTATGGCTAAATTAGGGAAAAAAAACAGCACTAGACCCATTCCATAGTACTGCCTTCATACTTGTTACCTGTCTAGCTCAAAATCACAAAGAAAACTGTGAGCAGAGGTGCCCTTAGGAGTCTAACACACATTCACTTACCTTCTCCATTTGAACCTGCCCATATGCAAACTTTGGTGTTGTTGGAGGGATAGGACCCTCAGGTAAGCTTTTATACTAGGAAGAAAAAAAAAGACTATATGAAACTTGAAAATGCAATGCATTTTAAACAAATATAATGTAGGAGGAATACAGTCCCCAAACTAAAGATAGATTGGACAAAAGGTAGATGTTTTTCATGCAGTCATGGGAGGAGAGAATTTAACAGCAGGTCTTCAAGAAGTGTTCAAAATCCACCTGATATGTCTGCTATACTAAAATGATTTTAGCAGAAATTCAACTTTTGAGATACTGTTATCTTGTATTTGCCAGTATTGGGCACTGATGGCATTCTTCAAAACCTAAGGCCCCCTTGTGGCCAGGCCTGGTATAGCTCTCCCTGTGTTTTTTGTGACTTTTTCAGCATTTATAGACTTGCTACAGGGGGGGGCAGGGGCGATTTAATTAGCACAGCTCTGAGAGCCACACTAATTAAAGCACCCACAACATCACATGTATCAGCATCCCCGCACTGACAAATAGCAGCAGGGAGCTTTGAACTAAAACTTGTTGAACCAGCTTTAGTTTAAAGCTCCCCACTGCCATTTTTCAGCATGGGGACACTGATACACATGGCACTGGAGTCTGCTGGAGGGTAGTAATTACCATGCTCCAGGACACTCGATTAATCAAGTCTGCTCCAACGCTCTGGAATTACAGCACGTCAAAGCAGCCTCCCTGCACATGTATAAGAGCACTTTGTATCTATTGGCTTATGGGGTCATACCCCTAAAACAAACAAACAAAATACTAAACTAATAATAATTGCAAGAGGGGGGAAAAGGGTAAGATCACATAGATATGCGTATGTTACATTTCTTTTAAAAATATTGTTTTATGTTACAGGCCTTTAGTTCCCATATCTCCTTTCCAAACTTCAACTACTTGAGTTACAGAATGGTTAAAAATGATTTTGAGCTTTAACTTGCCATTTTCAAGTACAAAAAGAAGAAGTAGTGAACTAAAATATTTCTGCTGAAGTTTTCAAAACCAGCATATATTCAACTTTGAGAAGAAACCAAATGTATAAATGCTTAGCCCAAAAAATGGGGAGGAAAAAAGCTATAAGCAAGTTAAAGATCCTTTAGGCTAGGGACAGACATTCAAAAAGCTGGAGCCTGAATCGATTCAATCTTTGCAAGTTAATCTACCTACACTGAACCAATTTGCAACTGAATAGACATTCACGTTTAACTCAGGAAATGCAGGCACATGCCTGCAGTGTCTCAGGCCAGAAGCCAGAGGGCACTAGAGTGAGCCCTCAGCTGCAGAGAAGCTGTGCTGGAAGAGGGGTAGGCATGGCCAACCCCTTGAGGCAGTAGCCTCAAATGAACTGGCTATCTAGGGTGTTTAATCCCCACCCCCCTCCCTGTCCCACCAGCATGGATCCATGCTGGGGTCTGCCTGGCGCTCCTCCCTCGCTGCTGCTGGGGTAGGGGTATGGCCAGATGCCGGCTGGCATGGCCCCCCGAGGCAAAGGGGGCAGGGAGGGGGTTCCCACCCCCGGAACGCAGCCAAGGTCTGCCAGCTCCAACCATCGCCTCTGCCGACTGCACCCTGCACAGGGTGAGAGGCAAAATAAGCTTCTTCCCTGCCCCCTCCACCAGATGTTGGAGGGAGGGGGGAAATAACCCCCCTCCCTGCCTCCTTCACCTAATGGGGCCATCCTGGCTGGCCTCTGGCTGCATCCCTGCCCCTGCAGCACAGAGGGTGGAGCAACCCTAATGGAGCAGCAGCCCTTTCATGGTTTCCTTGGAACGCAAGCCTCTTCGGGGGGGGGAGGGAAGGCTGCACTGCAGACAGGAGTGGGACGAGCAGAGCTGCCACAGACTGTGCAGGGCAGGTGGTGCTAGCAGGGGTTTGGGGGGCCCTCTGAGCCCCAGTACTGCCACTAGCCCTGCGCAAATCTGTGGCAGCCTCGCTCCAGGCAATCTGCCTGCCCTGCTCCTGTCCATAGCGCAGCCCCACCCTGCCTCAAGGAGACATGCCAGCCAGCATCTTGCCACACTCCTGCCATTGCAGCAGTGAGGGGGGGAGCACCTGGCGGACCCCAGCTTGGGTCCATGCCAATGGGACAGGGGAGCTGGGAATTAAACTTCCTTCCTGGCCACTTCACTTGAGACTACTGCCAGGGCTGGCCATTCCCCCGCCACTGGAGCAGTGAGCAGAGAAATGCATGGCAGGGGCTGCTGCACCCCTGCCTATCAGACCCTGGCTGGAGTCTGAGATGGTGGGACAAAGGAGAGAAAGGAATAAACCTTTTCCCTGCCCCCTTCCACTTAGAGGGTCTGGCATCTGGCCATGCCCCTGCCCCTGCCCACCCATGCTCCAATTAGAGAGCAGAGGGGCTGGGCCAGCCCTGCTCCACTGGAACAGACAGCACAGCCCAGCCCAGCCCAGCCCAGCCCAGCCCAGAGCTGCAGTGCATGCTGAGATGCTGTGGGACTCTGGTTTAGTTTAAACCAGGATGGGGTTTAGGACAGAAGTTCCATAAACCAGTTTGAGCTCAAGCGGTTAAGCCTGATACTACATGCAACCAGGTGCATCTCAAACCAGTTTCAGCCATTTTGAAATTGGTTTATGTGCACTGAACTTCTGTTATAGGCTTAAGCCAGTTTCTGATCACTTAAACTGCTTTATGTGTAACTTCTGTCCCTAGCCTTAGATTGGGAAACTCCACTCCAAACCAAGACTCGTTTACTATATGGGGGCCCCAGTATATATATTCTACTTGCAACAAATCTATCCTTTTCTAAGCAGACATTCATTACAAGCCAGCCTTCTTGTAACAACTTTATCTCAAAATGTGATTGAGTAAACAGATTGCTACTAGGTACAGAACCCACAGCACAGACAGGAAGCTTTCATGTAGATCCTATGGATATGGCACATAAGAAGCAAACAAACCACAGTGTAAATGTTGCACACACCAATCTGACCAAAAAGAATAAACGTACTCTTACATTTCAGATCTTATCAAAAGCAGCTCTCTGCTTCAAAATGTATCACCTTGGGTCACATACAACCCATCATAAACACTCAAAAAACAATTAAATATTTGTGAATGTCCTTGTTGAAAGAAGCCACACACAGGTCAGTGGTCTGAGCTGACTTGTACAACCCAAAACACACTACAGTTAGACACATGGAAAGTTTAAAACTAAGAAAAGTTTTAGAATAGTGAGGGCCAACCTGTCCGGCAGGACTTCCACACATCAGCCCTTCCTCCTCTCGAAGTGGCACTCTAATCCATTTCCCTTACCTGATCTCCTATTCAGCTTTCTGCTCCCTGCCCTGTGCTCCTTGATCAAGCTGCTGTTCTGCTTTCTATCTGCCACTGTGCTTCCTGTGCCCTCCCCAATCTGCCAGGTGCCACACAAATGAGGCTGCCCATGCTATTTGTGGCACCCATGCCACAGGAGGGACAACTGCTTTAGAAAATGGTCTGAAGTCTCTGTTCTAGAAAGGAAAACAATTGTGTGCAGTATTTAAACCCAGAGATGGGCCCAGAGTAAACATATGGCCTGAGCAGCCCTGGGCTTCAGGGTATTCAAAATACAGATTCAGGTTCTGCAGCTCAGTTTCTCCACTTGTTTGTAAAGTACTAAAGGGGAAAATTTAGTTATCTGAATAAGGGAGCACTATCCAAATGAGACAGAAGCAGGGTTTGGGCATTTTTTAACCTTATAAGCACATAGCAGAAGTGTGTAATAACTAAGGAGGTAACCTACACCTATATGCGAGCAGGAAGGCTGGGGGTTAAGCCAATGACATTTAGAGAAACATTCTTAACAGCTCTTATGTACACTCACCATACCAATTACTTCTCTCAGAGCAAAGTATTTCTCCGTGAGGTCTCCTGCTTCGCTTAATGGAGCATCATAGTCATAACTAGTAGGCTGTGGTGTGTATGGCATATTTGCTCCTAGGGAAAAAACGATTAAAAAATGAAAGGATCTCTTCCAGTTTCATCCTCTGTAGGACTGTTTGTTTCTTTCCATTCTCAATTCTTTGATCATAGTGAAGAAACTTTTCTAACTCTACAGATTCAGCTTGTGTCCCATTCCAGGAAGCTATCCTTATTCAGGACAATGCACTGAATTTTTCCTTAATCGGGGCCCTGGAGAACAAAGAAATATCTCTCATCCAGTGCACCAAATATCCTGATAGAAAATATGTAGGAGAAACCAAACAGCAGCTGCCTACCAGAATGAATGCACACAGAAAATCTATCAGGGACAAGAGTAGCCAGCTACCTGTGGGGGCACATTTCTCACAAGAAAACCACTCGCTCTTCAATCTCTCAGTTCTATTCTCAAAGAGAATTTACAAAACACGTTTCACACACGAGTCTAGGAACTTCACTTCATCAATCTACTGGATACAAAAAAATCACAGACTAAATAGATATTGGATTTAGGACACATTATAACCTGCCTAACATCTGACTCTCCAGGTACCTCTCCACTATTTAACAGCTACATTCTTTCCCTTTCCCCCCACCACCCCAACCTGTCTCTCACCTACTGACTCCACAATTTACATCTTCACCGACTGCCTTTCTTGCCAGCCTCTGGCTTCTTTACTATTCATTCTATCCAGAAAGACCACAGACCAACTGCAGATGCTTCCTCAGCATGACCAAGGGTATTTGTGTACCAGAAAGCTTGCAAAGAAGATTTTTTTCCAACTATTTGAGTTGATCTAATAAAAGATATCAGATTTACTCAAACAACCAAAATAGTAACTAAGGCATTTTAAACCACATCTTTTGACAGGATGAATACTGAATTGATTTAGGACCCAGAGGCTGAAGGTTTAAAGAACATGCCATTTGTAACAGACTGTAAATGGTATGTGAAGCTATCACCTGTCATTTCAAAGCATATATAGCTCCTCTCCCTTCACAAAAACTAGCAGGGACTCATAGAACAAACTACCCAGTTCATAAGCAACCACACTAAGTCAGGGCTGTCCAACTCAGAGCCGGTGGACTGCATGAGGTCTGCAAGTCACTAAACTGCAGCCCCCTGGTTCCTGTCCAGCCAATGCTTCTCTCACGACTCCAGTTGTCAAAGTCTCTGGGCTCCCCCTCTCTTCTCTGGCTTTCACTGCTTGCTTCTGCCCCTGGGGAGCTGAAGGTGAGCAGCAGAGAAGGGAGGAGGGGCCACAGGTGCATGGTTCTGCAGTGGGTGGGGGGATTCACCCCCATGGTATGTGATCTGGGGGTTTGAGACTCACCCTGGTGCAGCCTGTGGGCATGCAGCCCTCACAGATGAGGCCCACAGGATATTCAACCCCCTGATGCTTAGAAGTTGGGCAGCCCCCCTGAATTAAGTCATAAAAATTCAAATAAATTCTGATCGTTTCTTACCATTCCAGTAGGCAAAATTGGTCCCACCTATAAACATGTACCTAAAAATGAAAACAAAAAAACACTCAACCCAGGTTTTGCTGGACTCCAGTAATAATCAAACCATTTACTGAAAGAGCCATGCTCTCAAATATACACTTACATGTTAACATTAGCACCACGTGCCAGGATTTCACTAAGAGATTTAGCTACCAGCTGGGCTGGCACAAAAGAATGACGATGACCCCAGTGATCCAACCAGCCAGTATAGAACTCAGAATTAACCTGAGAGCAGGAAGAATGGTAGAGAAATACAAAGAGGAATCAAAATTGTAATTTAATGTTATTAAGTTCAGTTTAGGTCAGTAGCCAAAAGGGAGGGGAAAAAAATCCAAAAAATAAAACAATTTACATCATACAAGTTTTCTTCAAAATATTATATATGCAGTAGAATATGTTAGAAGTTAATCACCTCCAGAATACATTAAATATCCTGAAGAGATGGCTTAAGTGGTGTTTAGCATGGGTTTCACTGTACCTCTGTCATACATGGAACACCTTCAACTTTAGATCGCTAAAAGGACTGATGGACTCTACATGTAAATTTGCAAGATAAGCCCATTCATATTACACTGAATAAAAATAAAGCTATAAAGTAGCAAAGTAATTGGTCAAAAATGCTGCTCTAAGAGCTTGCCAAAAGAACTTACGCTCCAGGAGCCCTTCTTTTGTCAAAATAGCCTGTATGACCAATTCAGGTCCCATTAAGGTATATAGAAATAGAGGGCAATTGTTAAAAAGTGAAGTTTTTTTGCTTCCTTTTTTTTCTACTTCTAACTTCCACCCACCCACTCACACTTAACTCCCACCATCTACCCACACTTTACTCACTCACCAAATCATCTCTACTGTTTCCATTGCTTTGTACTTATTTATCTTAGTTGGGACAAAACTTCAAAAAACATTGATCTTTTCTGAGGCCAGAGTACACTTCATAGAACTGTTGTCAATGTGACATAGGAAACAACGCTCATCCTGTGCCTAGCCACGAGGTCTAATATTCAAAACAATCTGAGCGTCCCAAGAAGCAGCATAAGGTATTGATATCAACCCCTTTATTATGTATACACCAACATGAAACAATTTATGAAAAATTAAAAACAAAAATAAATATATACCAAAGGGCCTGTTGGTTCACTGCTTCTTTGAGATAAAAATGCTGCTGTGACATTACAACCTGGAAATAGATAAAAAGCAAAAGCTAAGCAGCAAAATCTGTTCTATTTCAGTTCTTTGTCTTAAATAAACAGAAATGGACTGATGGATCTCTCACATGTATTAACTATAATCCACGTATTACCTAGACCCTATATTTTTGGAAGGGACTAATGATTTTGGGCACCTCGATTTTTTGGTGTTGAGCTTGAAACACTTGATGAACACAGTCCAATTTTTAAAGGGGAGGGATTCACCCTTTAAAAGTTACTTGAAGATGAACACCAAGAAATGGGCACCCCCAGCCAAATTAGGAGTCATTCTAGAAAACGTGGATCTTATTTTAGCATCAATTTTGGGGGAATGGAAGACACTGGTAAACTACCCAAGTCAACAGTGCCTGGAAAAGTCATCCCCACTCACTGTCTGACCTATACAAAGCAGTTATGTAGTCTCAGTTCATTTAGCCCATTTAGTATATGACAAATATTTGCACAATACACTGAGTCTACTGACAAAGGATAAGTCACCGAGGAGGCTACCAATTGCAGATGCTTGGAACTTTAACTCAAGGCATAACAAACCTAGCTTGCCAAGGCTATGCAATTGTAAAAAGCATTAGATTAGGCATTGGATAAAAGGCGTTAAGGCTTCTCCTCTGTTGACTGGGCACTTTTCACAAATGCTACACTCTTAGTAATTATACAGGTCTATAGCACTGCAGATTACAACAACATGTGCTTTTTAACAAAAAACTAAGCACAAATTTTCTTGCAGATATTAGGAAGATGATCACTTGATGGATCTGGATTCTGAACAGGGCCAATGACCCTTGGAAAAAACTGCCCCACCCTGCTACATTATTCAAGATATTGGCACTGTAAACAAAGACTAAATTGGTCAAAGTGACCCCAGAGACAAATGGCAAATGGTTATAGGTATGTAGATTGCCATGAGTCAAAGAGACCATTTGCTTTGCTACAAATGAGTAAAATATTGCTGTGAACACCAACCTGGGGCAAAATCCACTGTTGCATAAAGACCTTGCAGGGCTCCACATCTCAAGTAACTTCTGCTTGCCCCATCTGTGGTAAACAACACCGCATCCTCCCCAAGGTGGTGGCGGAAGAGCTTCTGGAGATAGCGAAGGTAATTGTAATCGCAGGCAAAGTAGCTTCCATACTCATTTTCAACCTACACAATAAAAAGCATGCAATTAGCAACATGATAACTAACCAGCCCAGGATATTGGAAAAGCCTTTCACTGACACTAAGAGTTGCTGCTGAAACTGCGTGGTTACGACTCAGGAGGGAGACAATGAAACCAGCAGTAACTCTGGAGAAGATGCATGGAACGTGAGCAGATGGAGAAGCTCACAACAGTAACCTCTGTCCCATTATCCTTACATTCTTCTGGGAACCAGCAACAAAAATAATTTATTGAGCAAGTGACTGTGCTCACCTCAACTCCACCCCCATAACCCACATACAAAGAGTCACCAAGAATCAACAAGGGCTATGTACTGAAAGTTCATATTGAAAGCTGTACTTATTAATAAGTATGGTGAAAAAGCAATAAATGTGACCAAAGGCATAAAAACCATTAGCTGTCACATTGCTATTTTTCTCATTTTATTTTTAAGATATGTTACCTGCACCATAATAATTGGCCCTCCATTTTGATAAAGAAGAGGCTTCATCTTTGGTAAAAAGACACCCATCCACTTGTCCACAGATGCCAGGTAATCTGAAATAAACAAAGGTAAAAGTGAGGATGAGTTGCAGGGTTTTGGCCTTTACTTTTTTAAAATCTCAAATAAGAAAAAGGTGTGTATCCCTAAATGCACAGGGTCTGTACAAAGCGAACAAAAAGTACCATATAATGAAGTGATGACATGATTCAGTTTTGTTCAGGGAATGCCACTTAATAGGTGGATCATTACACTGGGAGCCACAATATAAAATTAATCTGCGCTGCAAACCACTGATGCTCGATAGATGTAATATGACATACCTTATGTACACAAAGTTACAAGGAGAATCTAGCATCATGACTAAATTCAAGCTTGATTAGAATTTACAACTGACTTTTTTTGCCAATACTCAAGCAAAATGCCAGAAGCAATGCTATGTCAGCCAGCCCTCTGCTCCAGTGATCTTAAGTAGTAGCTCTCTAGACCAAGAGTCTAGCACATCTGCAAAACTCCAGCAAAGTACATTCTTGGAAGCTAACTAGTGAGGCATCAGAACCAAGAGAAAGGTTTTCCATCAGGCAACAGAACTGTTACTAATCCAGAAAGTTGTGTAGGGGTATTGAACTTTTGGCAGCAAAGAGCTCTTAGTAGAATGTATTATACACACATACACACACACACACACACATACACATACACACACATATATACATATACACACATGCACATACATATACATACACGTTTGTATTATATATACGTGACTAGGGAGAACTAAAATAACTGGCATATTGCAGCATTGCACAAAATATCAGGCAAACATGTCAGGTCAGTCCAGGTAACTGAGCGCCTCCCAAATCATTCAGCACATCAGAACTTATTTGGAGATGAACATTAGAAGGGACACTTCATGCCAGCTTACCAAGGCCATTATAAAGGAAATTAATTGTCCTTAACAATGGATCACAGGGTGATCCATTGCAAAGATGTGTTAGTCAATTATTATTGGCAACCCTAAAGCTGTCAACTGTTCAATCAAGCTGCTTCAACTGAGGACAGCCACCATTAAAAAGTATTTTTATGATCCATCTGCAAACACTTTGCAGGCTGCATTTTAGGAAGCCTCCATCTAAAAGTACAGCCTTGTTCCAGAAAATCCACATTTTCTGGAATGGCTCCTAATTTGGCTGGGGGTGCCCATTTCTTGGTGTTCATCTTCAAGTAACTTTTAAAGGCTCACAAGTACAGGTTTGAGAATATTATTCATGGTAACTTATGTTCTTGCTGCTCCTAACTAATGCTTTTATAACAACAAATAGCCAACTGCTCGTCAACGATGACGGGGGTGGGGAGGGGGCTGGGATGGAGTGCCGCCACCTAATGCCCCATGCTGCCACTGTTCTGCCTCTTGCAGGGAGTGGGGTAGGGGAGCCGAGGCCAGCAGCTTGCAGCGGTCCTCAGCACAGCTTGCAGGGAGAGGGGTGGGCTGGCCTTGGCTCCCTCACCCCCCTGTCTGGTCCTTATCGCCACTTGCAGGGAACGGGGTGGGGGAGCCAAGGCCAGAGCTGCTGGCCTCAGCTCCCCCGCCCTCTGTCTGGTCCTCGGTGCAGCTTCGGAATAATGGCAGCACTCCTCCACACTTGGAGGACTCTGATTGGCTTCTGTCAGCCAATCAGAGTGTGAATAAAGCATTAAGGATGGACAGACAAAAAGACAGAAAGACTTAGGCTTTTATAATATTAGAATTAATGCACTAATACTTGAAAAAACACAAATCTCAATCCTCTGCTTTGCTTGCAAATGAAACATGGTTTTGCAGATTGTTCTGATCTCCTTACCTAAATCAGAAGATCTGAGAATAATTGATTCTTTTTCCAATAACCATGCAGGCAGACCCCCCTAGGAAGAAGGAGGAAACCAATTAAGTGGCTGTTTTTCAGAAACCACAACGGTAAGTTTAGCCAACTATATGAGAATTATATCTATTGATATTATCCATTTCATGGTGTATGTCAGTGACAAATAATAACTAAGCCTCTGTTAAAATAAAATGAACATTGTGTAACCATTAACATGTTTTGTGCTATAAGACCACACCTGGGCAAGACACAAACCCGTACATTTAAATATTCTAAGCCAGGGATGGCCTGTGTATAATGATTTTTTTTTTCATTCTAACCCTGAGGTAAAAATAAGCTGACGTTTATATTAGACAGAGACCAGATGCAAATTTAGCCTAGAGATGGGGAAAGTCTTAACCAAATCTTTACCATGTCCCATTCTGCGCAGATATAAGGTCCAGCTCTCAGTATTACCAACAAGCCAGTCTCGTTAGCTAGCTGCAGGAAATATTCTACATCTCTGTCACCAGAGAAGTTATATAGTCCTGGCTCAGATTCATGATAGTTCCATGGCACGTACCTGTGAAGATAAAAACACCTTCCGTGACAAGTTCATGAGACCAGAACAAGAAGATAACATCAACAACAACTTCACTTAATGCAAGCAGACACACTACTTGCAGTTTTGCAATGCTTTATATATCAGTACTTTCACACCAGCAAGATATACAAGTGAATTTTGGACCTCACTGTCATCAGGTGTTCTTAGGAACTGAAAGTGATAAACTCAGCACTAACTAATAACAGATGTTTAAGACAATGTCTGTCTACACCGAGGCAATTCATCCAAATTTTGTCACGAGGAATGCAGGCAAACACCTGCCAAACTCACCTTCAAGTGTCCATGCTCCAGAGCTGCACGAGCCCCAGAAACATACCCATTTCCATCATAGCTTTGCATGGGTTTCTGGTAGGATCTCCAGGATATGTCTCAAGGACTTATAGCACCTCACTAACTTGAACTGCTCTACAAGGAGGCCGTTCCTACTCATATGGAGAAATATATTATGTCAGGGTACAGAAAGAGGTCTGGGAAACAGTGGATGGCAGGTCAGTAGCAATGGCTCTCACCGACCATTTTATTCATAGCAAAGCAGAGAGACCTGATAAAGACTGCAATTGCTGCATGTTCCCTAGATGCAGATCAGTACTTCTGCTGCAGAAATAGCACAGGATATTGAGAGGCTGAAATTATGCTGAGGGGAAACCAGCACAGGTTCGTAGCAGGTAGATCATGCCTGACTAATCTAGTCTCTTTTTATGACCAGGTTACAAAACACCTGGACGCAGGAGTAGGGGTTGACGTCGTTTACTTAGACTTCAGGAAGGCCTTTGATACGGTATCCCACACCATACTGGTGAACAAGTTAAGAGGCTGTGACTTGGATGACTGCACGGTCTGGTGGGTGGCGAATTGGCTAGAGGGTTGTGCCCAGAGAGTCGTAGTGGATGGGTCGGTATCGACCTGGAAGGGTGTGGGCAGTGGGGTCCTGCAGGGCTCGGTCCTTGGATCAATACTCTTCAATGTCTTCATCAGCGACTTGGACGAGGGAGTGAAGTGTACTCTGTCCAAGTTTGCGGATGACACAAAACTGTGGGGAGAAGTGGACACACCGGAGGGCAGGGAACAACTATAAGCAGACCTAGATAGGTTGGACATATGGGCAGAAAACAACAGAATGCAATTCAACAAGGAGAAATGCAAAGTGCTGCACCTAAGGACGAAAAATGTCCAGCACACCTACTGCCTAGGAAATGACCTGCTTGGTGGAACGGAAGCGGAAAGGGATCTTGGAGTCCTAATGGACTCCAAGATGAACATGAGTCGTCAGTGTGACGAAGTCATCAAGAAAGCTAATGGCACTTTATCGTGCATCAGCAGATGCATGATGAACAGAACCAAGGAGGTGATAATTCCCCTCTATCGGGCGCTGGTCAGACCGCAGTTGGAATACTGCGTGCAATTTTGGGCGCCGCATTTCAAGAGGGATGTGGATAACCTG